GTGTGTGTGTGTGTGTGTGTGTGTGTGTGTGTGTGTGTCAATTTCAAGGCTGCAGAGCAACGAAATGTGAATGTTTTGAAGAAGGTGATTCTTTTCTCATCCCCCATTTCTGTGGGCCCCAGTGCAGCTGCACTGCCTATAGTTCCACCACTGGGAACGTGTGTGTTTTTTCTATTGGGCAGCATTCATGCACTGTAATCCTTCAACCTGTTTCGATGCCAACTGAGAAAAGACTGGTTATGAACAATCAGATCAACACTGGCCAAGTAATATTAACCATAGGAGGATTTGTTACCCCAGATTAACCTTATTTAACCTTGTGCCCCAACTCCTCTCTATTTTTCCCTCAGGCTCTGTCTTTCAACATGACCCCTGACCTCCACTCAGATCTACAGAAGTTTATTTCCGATATTGACAAACCTGATGCCCCTTACCAGCTGACACTCGCCAACCGTCTCTATGGCGAAAAGACCTTCAGCTTCCTGCAAGTAAGGCACACTCCAGGTTTTACATTTTGCCTTCATCTTCCACAATACTGAGCCTTGCAGACCTCCTGTCCAATCAAAAAGGGAAATAAGTAGCAGCATTTGAGAACTGACTAAAGGCGTTGCTGCTTTGAGATGATCCTGCTGTTATGGTGGGGCAAGGCACAGGTGGAATAAGTGTGACAATCCATGTAGCAGCTCTGAGAAACAAAGAGGTTTATTAACAGATCCAAACACTAAGGTGTAAAACCAGTAAATAAAGGGACCATGAGGGTTCCACAAAACACACCAGAAAAGATAAGGAACAAAATAAAGGAACCACAAAATAAAACACTGGGAACAGGATTAGGACGGTAAAACAAAGCAACCAGACACACACAAGTCCACTAACTGACTAAGAAACAGAGTAGGTAGGCAATTAAATACACACAGAGAATCAGGGCAAACAAGGGACAGGTGTAAATCATAATCAGATTAAACAATCAAAAGGAATTGGGTAAACAAGGAACAGGTGAAGTGGATTACAATAAACAAGCACTAGAATTGGGAAGCATTAATAAATACTAAGGGCTAACAACAATAAGAAAGACTAGGCACAAAAGTGTGTGTAGAACATAATAAAAGGTGCAAGACACTAGGAAACAGAAAACCAAAAAATGTTAAATAACAGGTGAGGCATTTTTATTGATCAGCTGATGTTGCCGTTCAAATGTTATTTACCTTAATAAGCATCTTCGTGAGGTGGTTATCCCCAACAAAGATTAAGACTGATTGTTCTGAATTATAATAGGAGTTCTTGGACGCTACATGGAAGTTCTACCAAGCTGAACTGGAACCAATGGACTTCATAGGCGCAGCAGAGGAATCCCGGTGTCAGATAAACCAGTGGGTGGAGGCCCAAACCAATGGTGAGAGAGCACTGGTGTGGATACATTAGTGATTTGGTGCCGTTAACCTGCCAATGTACAAGTGGAAAAAAAGATTAATAAGCTTTTTTTGTCTCTGTTTGATTACAGTGTTTCATTCTTACTTTAGGTGTCTCTTTCAGCTGCAATTTTGAAAGTTTGTTTCTCTGTTTTAGGTAAAATTATGGACATTTTGAATCCATTGGCAGTTGACAGCACTGCAACACTGGTTATTGTCAATGCCCTGTATTTTAAGGGAGAATGGCTACATATGTTTGATCGATTTAAAACGAGGGAAATGCCCTTTAAAATCAATGAGGTGAAATCCCTTTTCTTTACATACACATGTGCAATTATGAACTGCAGTTCCGATAGTGATATCTTGCATCAGGATAAATGCAGCTCTGGGAAAAAATTGAGACCACTGTATTTTTTTTATTTATTTTTTTAAAAACATTTTTTTTAATCCTGGTGCTGCTGGCAGAAGTCTGAGCAGCAGGTTATTTCCAGGTTCAAAATTTCTAAGACAGCAGCTCACAAGAACAAGGTGAAACAGGAGACCCTGAGAATGACCAGAAACCAGCCAGGTAAAGAGAGGAAGAGACTTTCTAATGCCAGAGAAGACGTCGTCTTCCGATTCATCAGTTAACATCAAGTGACCTTTAAAAGGAATGGGAAACATTAAGTGCACTACTAGAGTTCGTATTGGGCTCCTAGAAGCAGGACTGAAGTCTTATAAAGCAAGGAAGAAGCCCTCCATTAATGAGACACACACCCATAAACTGAGAAATGAGTTAAACAAAAAATTGTGCTATGGTCTCATTTTTTTTCCAGAGCTGTATGTGTAACATTGAAATGGATTTTAGAGAATCTTTTACCTGATGGCAGTAAGATAGGACTCCCAACAGTTGGGTGCATAGATTGCAGGTTCAAACAGTTGGGTGAAGTACACATCTTAAATAGAGCAACAGGACCTCTTCTGAGGTTTGAACCTGCAATCTATTCTGCTATACTAAACATTATAACACCTGCTCTTTGAACAATGTATGTATTTAGATTCTGTCTTTGCTGAGCTGTACAGTTTAAGGTGATGTAAAGTTTAGTGTTGTAATAATAAATTTGTTATGCAAATATATGACACATTATTTAAATCAAACCTGATGTATTTCATTTTTTGTCTTCACTAGAGGGAGACCAAGCCTGTTCAGATGATGTATTTGCAAAAAGTATTGCCATTTAAGTATATTGAGGAGTATGACCTGCAGATAGTGGAGATGCCCTACAAGGGTGATGAGCTGAGCATGTTCATCCTGCTCCCTGAGGAGCCCCAGAATGGCTCCAACCCCCTGCAGAAGGTGAGCCCAGCTTCTCCATACATAGTGACATCAACGTTGTAGACAATTGGCAATTTTCCACTGCCTCCAGGAATTGAGCCATACCCTAACCCAGGGGTCTCCAACTCCGGTTCTTGAGTTACTATCCAGTATGTTTTCTATCCTACCTGGCTTCTGATGAGCCACACCTGCTCCTGGTATTTACCTGAGAACTGGTGTGGTTCATCAGAAGCCAGGTAGGATAGAAAACCTACTGGATAATAGCTGTCCAGGACCAGAGTTGGAGACCCCTGGGCTAGCCGAACTACGAATAGATGGTTTTCCATCGTAAATTTTGTGAACTGTACCTGACCTATACCCATGTTGTCATGGTCCTGCTAGTAGGGTAATTAAACTGAGCTGGTTAGGTCACCACCATCTAATTGATCGAAATGCACAGAGACAAGAAAGAACTGATATGTGTGATGGATTACCAGTAACAAAAAAGGGCATATACTATATATTATTCATTATTAGCAGTACCATACATTGCAATGTATTGATGCATTCCCAATAACTCCAAACTTGAAAATGTTCAACCTTCTATTTGATACTAGAGTACTAGAGAACAGCTGTACAGAATGGATTCGCAATTTAAATTTATGCAAGCTAATGCTAATTCTGCTAGCATTTGATGCTATCATAACATGGTGATTCTCACAGATGTGCTAGCGGAAGTTAACACATAGAAACTCATGATGTACTCTGTGTGAACAGTAAACAAGCATCTCTTCGTTTTTTTTTTTTTTTTTTTTTTGTCGTCACTGTTGCTCTCCAAACCTTTTACCTTTTACCAAGTCGGCCCTTCTGCAGTGCAAAATCAAAGCATGCTGGCACCGGGCTGTGACTAGTGTCTCTTCGTGGTACTGGTTGGGTATGGCCTGGTTCCTGTATGCCATTGGCAAGTGCCAATGTCACAGTCCACTCAGTAACTTTTTCTTAACCTGAGAAATGCGCCAACACCTCATTACTTTGTTACAATAATCCAAATCAAAGAAGACAAGCCAACAATAAACCAAAAATCGAGCAGAGCTCCTGAAGGTTCTTTCTGTCCGGCTTTTCACTTCCGCCGGATGGAAGTGACGGCCGGTCTTGCGGGGAATCGTGGGTGGGGTCCAGACGGGGAGGCGGAGCAAGGGCCGGGCTGAGTGGTGCCGAACAACAGCGGCGCGTAACAACTTTTAAAGTAAACTGAGTGATTTTTCTTTGTTGTTACTTTGTCCTACCCATGAATCATAAAACACTGGTCATTCAGTGTGGTTAAGTTATTGAGATGAAGTGCTAAACATCTCAAAGGTCTTCAATTCATCCTGCTCATGTAAAAGCAAGTTTTGTCTTTTGTTGACTGTCTGCATGTTAAAGCTGGAGAAAGAGCTGACCCTGGAGAAGATAAACGAATGGACAGATGAGAAGAATATGGAAAGCGGTGGTTACATTGACTTGTACCTCCCAAAATTCAAGCTGGAAGACAGCTATGACCTGAAGGAAGCCCTGACTCATCTGGGCATGACAGATGCGTTTGATGAGAAACTGGCAGATCTGACTGCCATAAACAGGGAGGGCGGCCTCTTCATCTCCGCTGCTGTTCACAAGTCCTTCATAGACATGAACGAGGAGGGAACTGAGGCAGCAGCTGCCACAGGAATCTTCATTATGAGCAAGAGATTAATTCATGGGAAATACTTCATGGCCGATCACCCCTTCCTCTTCTTCATCAGACACAACTCATCCAAGACAATCCTCTTCTTTGGGCGATTTTCCTCTCCATGAGGTCCGTTTCATATTCACTTACTGCCATAGTTGGTTTATTGCTGGAATGTTGTCTGTTTGATTTGTAGATATATCACACATACATATAGCTGTTCTCCAAAGACCATATTTCATTAAGCTTCTAATTTAAGGGGGCTTTTGCCAAAAATATTACTCCCTATATTCCCTGCTACGATCACTATAGAAATAATCTACACTTCAATTTTTATATTTTCATGAATAACAAAAGTGTTTTGCTAATAATGAACAAATTAACTTTCATTTTCCCAGCCTTGGAAACTCTCCATTTCTTTGGCATCTTAATTGTGGCTTAATGTCTTGAGGATCCAATTTCTCACACTGACTGGCGCTCAGATGCTTAGTTGTATAAATAGATACTTACCTCATGGAACTTGAAATCTTTTGTGGAAACAATCTAAATACAGTATGTATCCATTGCAATTTTCAGTAATTGTTATAACTCTTCCTTTGATGTTGCACTGATAATTATGATGGTTTATTTTCAGTAAATATACAAACCTCAGTTCCAATACAGTATTTAAAATACATATTCATATTAAATATTTATGAAATCAAAGAAAATTTGAGACCAGCACACACCTCCTCTCGAACATCTGCCACCTGCATGTTTTCAATGTTCAAGCATCGTCAAGTAATGCGACACGCTTGCAGCTCAGTGACCGTTTGCATGGTCACACCCACAACTCTGAGGTACTCGGCGGTTATTAAGCGAATGTTTGTGATTCAGCACTTACTGAGAAATGGATATGTTTTTCTCGAGGCAGGAGATGTGCTTGGTTTGTGACATGGACTGTGGGGTGAACCCAGAGTTTCCAGAGGAAACCCACACAGAGGAGTTCATGGGAAATGTTTTTTTACAAGCCCTTGACTGTGAAGAGTGTCAGTCAGTTGACTGTGGCATTTTCAGTAATCCGCCCATTGAATTACAATAGTAACGTGGTATTTCACTAAGCAAAAAGCCATAATTACTGCTTTGAAACTGGGCGGAGAGTTAACCGCATTCTTCAAAATGAACAAAACAAACAATACAAATGGGTGTACTCTATACATCTATTTTAGCTTGTGATGGTTAATCATCAAAAAACACCAGGATAGAAGAAGCAGACATATGATGCATGTAGATGGTGCAGATTCAAGTGGGAGTTCATGATCAGTTAAAAGAACTCCGCCATGAACCGGAGATGGAAGCGTGTCAGGCGTGTCAGCATCTCGTCCAGCGTGTTGGTGGGGATCAGCACACATAGTCTAGCAAGGGGAGGTGCAGAGGACAGTTACCACTAGGTCCCGTGAGATGGGTGCCAATGAAATACTGATGAAACGGTAAAGGCACAGAGCCTATGACAGGGTGATTCTAGGACAGATTTAGAAACCTGAGATGGTGTGTTCCATCCCGCTGACCGTATTCACACCCAGGACTGACACACACCCCGGAATCTTCCAACAATCTCCTACTGTAGAGCAGGTCAGCATCTACTCCAGCCTTCTGGAAAAAGTAGGAGAAGGTGGTAAGGTGATTCTCTACATCCAAAAGCTTTTTTATATACAGAACACCTAAAGTAAATTTACTACACTTGTTTTAGCCTGGCATTTAGTTACTGTCAATGACCATTATCTTCGAAATATTTATTTCAGTTATTGTATTCTGTTGGTTAAATCAAATTCAGGATGGGAAACAGACTATCCATCCATTTTCTCCCGCTTATCCGAGGTCGGGTCGTGGGGGCAGCAGTCTCAGCAGGGAATCCCAGACTTCCCTCTCCCCGGCCACTTCATCCAGCTCCTCTGGGGGAATCCCGAGGCGTTCCCAGGCCAGCCGAGAGACATAGTCCCTCCAGCGTGTCCTGGGTCTTCCCCGGGGCCTCCTCCCAGTGGGACATGCCCAGAA